TTCCGATTTTACCTCAGTTTTTTATTTTAGGTAAAATCACGATTTTGACTGCATTGGGTACAGCCGTACATGTACTACCTAAAGCTGTATATGGGTCGGTTAGATTGGTTTTGACCATTTTAATCATCCAGTCAATGAGTTACGAATTGAATTATAGCAAACTCAAATTCATTATTTAATTTGAAGACTCTTTGGATTTCTTGAGTCACGATTTGAGTCGGTTTGATGGAATTCCAATTCATTATACGAGAATACAATTTATAATTTTAATAAGATAACATGAAGAACAATACATATATGACATTATATGAAATACAAAACAAAATAGCATGTAAAATGTGCATTCATACTAGACAAAAATCGTTTAAGTGATCATTTTCATAAAGAAATGATTTTATAATATATCAATTACAACTATGCAAAGCAATGACAAGTTTAACAATTAATGTAAGATATTTATGATAGAAGGTATATATATATATATATATATGCCATATATATGACAAAGACTAGCGTATGCCCGGGCGTACGTTAGACTACCGTACGCCCGTTTGAGTTTTACTATTTAGATCATGAATTAACCGGAGTTTTTGGCATGATACTATACCCTAACCACTAATGGATAAACCCCAGTCCCAAGTTTTCTAACCCAAATCATGAGATTCGTTTAATCTTAAAATGAAAATCAACAATAATTTCGACGAATCAGAACCGTTGATTTTCATTTCAAGATTAAATAAATATTATGCTTTGGGTTAGCGAATTGCGGACTGGGGTTCACCCATTAGGGGCTATGGTATAGTATCATGCCCCAAACTCCGGTTAATTCATCGTCTAAATAGCAAAACTCAACGGGCGTACGGTAGGTTAGGGTACGTCCGGGCGTACGCTAGCCTTTGCCATGTATATATATACCTTCTATCATAAATATCTTACATTAATTGTTAAACTTGTCATTGCTTTGCATAGTTGTAATTGATAAATTATAAAATCATTTCTTTATGAAAATGATCACTTAAACGATTTTTGTCTAGTATGAATGCACATTTTACATGCTATTTTGTTTTGTATTTCATATAATGTCATATATGTATTGTTCTTCATGTTATCTTATCTTATTAAAATTATAAATTGTATTCTCGTATAATGAATTGGAATTCCATCAAACGGACTCAAATCGTGACTCAAGAAACCCAAAGAGTCTTCACATTAAATAATGAATTTGAGTTTGCTATAATTCAATTCGTAACTCATTGACAAATGGTCAAAACCAATCTACATGCCCGGGCGTACGTTAAGACCTATATTTTGATCTTTATGGATTAGAGTATAGTATCATGTCCGAAAGATCAGTCAATTCAAGTTCTAGATAGCGTTTTTTTACTCAAGGTATGCGATACTCCGGATTTTACCCGGGGTACCGTAGAACTCGCCATATATATATGGTAATGACTGGTGTACGTTAGGCGTATAGTATACAACAGGTGATCTAGCCGTTAGATGTACTTAGATGAGCTCTAGCCAATCTCAACGGTCAGTTTTTGTTTTTCATTAAATCAAACATCGGGTTGGGGTTTAGAAAATCGGTGCCTGGGGTTTATCCATTACAGGTTAGGGTATAGTATCATACCCCATTCTCGATTTAATTCATGGTCTAGATAGAGATATCTCATTAGTAGTACCTGACGTATAGTATACGTCTGACGTACGCCAGTCTGACCTATATATATATATATAAAATGTATAAGAGTAAAATATACAATGTAGCATCATGGTCCATTTGGGCAATCTGAGGTCGTAACTATCAAAACCGCACCCAACCAATATGCCACTGTTTTCAAAAATTAAAGGGTTAACCGCCTAACCTTAATTATTAGCCAAATCTTTTTCACATTATTTTTTTATTAGCCAAACCTATTGAATTACCAATAATTAATCAATTTTTTTTAATACATCATAACATTAGTTACTTTTATGTTACCGTTAATATTTTTTTAATTTTTTTCTTGGTGAAAATAAAAAAATTTTAGAATGATGACCTCCATGTGTCTATTCCAAGTCAATATCAAGTTGTCGTTTGTCAAGTTAATATTATTAACAAAATTGTTAACTTAAAGTTAAACATTTGACTAATTATTAGTAATTGAATAGGTTTGGCTAATAAAAAAACGCGAAAAAAGTTTGGCTAATAATTAATATTTACTCAAAATTAAAATCCACAACCACCCATAAAATTGGATGTTATAGAATATTACAAGTTGATTGCTTTGAGTTTGACGGTTTTCGATTTTGTTTGTTCACCTCTACCCAAAGGCCAAAGGTAGTGATTGCACAGTTACAAATATTCATCATTCAATACAAACTATGAAGATTGAATTTTACCAAAAAAAAAAAAAACTGTAAAGATTGAATACAAGAAATAATTTTTGACTCGAGGACTAGCCAAGCAAAAACAAGCCCAGAAACTTTGGGCTTATGTTCACCGGAGAGAAACATTGGGTTAAAAGCCTACGCCCAATCATTGCACATTGCACATCGCAACAAATGTGAAACGCTTGATTTCTTGGCGGAGACGAAATCACTCTCTTATCTCTTTGCTCTTCTTCACAAATTGGGTTTCTCTCCGATATGGATTAATGGGATTCGTGAATGTGTGACAACGGCTACGTTCTCTGTGCTGGTTAATGGACAATCTGCAGGATATTTCCCTTCTTCTCGGGGGCTTCGTCAGGGGATCCTTTATCTCCCCTTTTGTTCGCTCTCTGTACTGAAGGCATCACGACACTTATTAAGGCTGCTATTATGAACCATCGTCTTCATGGTGTTCGTTTGAACAATAGATGTCCGATGATTTCGCACCTTTTATTTGCTTATGATTCTTTTCTTTTCCTGAGGGCTTCCCAAAGGGATGGTGTCAACCTTCTCTCTTTGCTTCGTGAGTATGAAAGCATGAGTGGGCAGCGTGTTAGCTTGATGAAGTCTGCAGCCTTTTTCAGTCCCAATATAGTTCAGTCTGACCAAGAAGAATTGGGGGAGTTCTTGGGCATCGGTTCGATAGGATTACAGGATCATTATTTGGGACTGCCTTCTTTAATGGGGAGTTCAAAGATAGACACCTTCAGGTATGTGGAAGAAAAGTTATTATCTGTTTTAGCGGGTTGGAAGAACAGGTGTCTATCTTCGGCTGGAAAGGAGGTCTTATTGAAATCGGTTGCTATGGCCTTGCATGTTTACGTTATGTCCTGTTTTCGCCTTCCTCTTGAGTTGATTCGACGGTTGAATGCTCATTTTGCTAGATTTTGGTGGGGGGCGACAGAGGGACATCGTCGTATTCATTGGGGTTCTTCGAAATATCTGTGTATGAGTAAATTTGATGGTGGTTTGGGCTTCCGAGAATTTGGTTGTTTCAATCAAGCTTTGTTAGCTAAAGTAGCATGGTGGATTCTCAAGGAGCCAACTACTCTTCTTGCACGAATTTACCGGGGTCGTTACAACTTTGATTCTACAAGGTTCCTTTCTGTTGCTCCTGGGAGTAACCCTTCTTATGGATGGAGGAGTATTTTATTTGGGAGAGATCTGCTTCGGCAAGGCATCCGGTGGCAGGTAGGGAATGTGAGTCCATTAGAGCCTTCGAGGATACTTGGCTTCCTACTAATCCCCCTTCACGACCATCTCCGAAGCCAGGTGCGCTGTCAAGTCATCCTTTTGTCTCAGCTTTTATTGATCCAGGATCCAAGCAATGGAACTTGGCTGCTTTGAACTGCTTCTTTGATAATGCTTCAGTGGCTATAATCCGTCAGCTACCGCTTCCTCACCGACGTCTTGTGGATGATATTATTTGGCATTTTGAGGCTAATGGTTTGTTTTCAGTGAAATCTGCTTATCATTTAGCTTTCACTCATCTTCGACCTATTCCACGGAAAGCTGGTGCAACAGTCATTGATTCGGCGTTATGGAAATGGGTTTGGACACGAAAACTTCCTCCAAAACTTCTATTCTTCCTTTGGCAGTGCCTACAGCGGATTCTTCCTACTCGAGAAGCTTTGGCGACGCGTGGAATGGATCTACTCCCTGTGTGTACAGCTTGTGGACGACGAGAAGAAACTTTAGGACATCTCTTTTTCTCTTGTCCTGCGGCTCGTAGGTTATGGAGGATCACTAGATTCCAATCTCGGCTTCAGACTTGGAAGTTAGGATCATTTGCAGGCTTCATCCGCCACTCCTTCCACAATTATAATGAACCTGATGCTGATTATTTCTGCTTACAGGTAGTGTGTCTTCTTTGGCGTTTGTGGAAAAACCAGTGCTCTATTTTCTTTGATCGTAAACAGGTACGAATTGAAATGTTAGCAGCGCAATGGAGACATCAAGTGTCTGAAGCTCATTTAGCAATTCTTCAATCAAATCATTCTAATAGCGCTACTTCGGGATCTAGTCCGAATGGGGGGTTGAGTGTGCACGCGGCAAATGGGTTTCAATATGTAGTTACCTTTGATGGGGCTACTCGTTTGGGTTTGCTGGGTACATCAGCTTTTGTGATCAAAGATAGTTCAGGTTGTCTGCTCTCAGCGCAAGCTCGTCAATGGGAAGGTGTGAATGATGCGTTGGTGTTGGAGGCGCTTGCGTTGCGGGACGTTTTGCTTGAATGTCAGAGGAGGAATCTTCATTCAGTTAGTGTGGCTGGGGATGCAAAGATCATAATTGACAAATGTTGTGCCCGAGATTTTCATCATTCCAAAGTAGGTATTCTTCTGAAGGAAATATGTTGCTTGCTGGATGATTTACCGGATTACTCGCTAAGGTTCATTGGTCGTTCTAACAACAGGGAAGCTCATTCTGTGGCTCGTCATGCCCTGTTCATGTCGCCCCGTATGTTTAAGGGGTTCGACTTCATTTCTTGATTACGATGTATGTAAGGATCCTTTTGAATCTTCTTCAAACAATGTATCTTTTTCTTTCCCCATTTCTGGGGTATTGAATGGGAAAAAAAAAAAAAAAAAAGACGAAAACACTCTCGGGTGCTCTCTTTCACTTCACCAATACAATCCAGACAAGTACAGCCACAAAGACCACACAGTTTCACCTCATCTTCATCCATTACTCGACAAAAATCTTCCAAAGACTTAATGGCAAAGGAAACTACAGCTCCATCAACGCAAAAGCAATAACAGCAACTGCAGAACAAAACCCAGAAAAGAAACCACAGTCCAGCAGCGCCTGTAATGTCTTCCACTGTAGCTCCGGCAACCAGCACAGAAGTGTTTCAGAGTGGCAGCTACAAGACCCACCTCCAAAACCTAAACCCACCACCTCCATGTCGCACCAAGACCAGGCCAATCCCTTCTCCCCCACCAAAGCCGCTCTTGATTGCCTCTCCAACTGAAGCAGGGGAATTCCCAGTTCTCATGTTCCTCCATGGCTTCCTCCTCTCCAACAACTTCTACTCTCAGCTCATCCAACACGTCGCCTCTCATGGCTTCATCGTCGTCGCCCCTCAGGTAATTTAAGTAAACCCAATTTTGATTAAGTAGCCAAGAAAGGTCGAATCTTTCTCGAAAATGGTCTGATACTCTGTCTATGTAACTATGTTCATAGCTGTACACAGTAGCGGGACCTGATGCAACAGAAGAGATCAACTTAGCGGCTGCAATTACCAACTGGTTAGCGGGAGGATTGCAACAATTCCTTCCTGAGTTGGTCAAACCGGACCTTACCAGGCTCGGTCTGGCCGGTCATAGCCGAGGTGGGAAAACTGCTTTTGCCCTGGCCTTGAAGAAGGAATTGGCAACTACTACTACACTGAGATTCTCAGTCCTGATTGGAGTCGACCCAGTTGATGGAATGGACACAGGGAAGCAAACCCATCCTCCCGTGCTGTCCTACGTTCCTGGTTCGTTCGATCTGGATATGCCGGTCATGGTGATTGGTTCCGGACTGGGCGAGTTGCGAAGGAACCCGTTGTTCCCTGCTTGTGCACCAAAGGGTGTGAACCATGAGCAGTTCTTCAGGGAATGTAGAGAACCAGCCTGTTACTTTGTGGTGAAAGACTATGGACATTTGGATATGTTGGATGATGAGACTAGAGGGGTTAGAGGGAAAGTCAGCTACTGCTTGTGCAAGAATGGGGAATCCAGAGAGCCCATGAGAAGGTTTGTTGCAGGAGCTATGGTAGGGTTTATGAGGGCATACATGGAAGGGGATAGCGATGATTTGAAGGCGATTAGAGCTGGGGATACCGGTCCAATCGAGCTTACAACAGCTGAGTTTTTATGACTCAAGCTTTTAGTTAATGAACGACTACTACTTCAGACGCTGATCATGTAAAACCAGAAGAACGAGCCTTCTTATTGCTTATAGCCTTATACAATATACATACAAATCTCCATTCCGACTCGATTGCGTTTGTAGTTCGCCAATACATGCTATCAATGAGCTAGTTGTGCCACTCGATTAGAGCCGGGGATACCAGTCCCATTGAGCTTACAACTGCGGAGTTTTTGTGACTGAAAGCATTTAGATAATGAACAACTACTTCAGAGCCTGATCATGGAAACCCCAGAAGAACGAGCTTCCTTCTTATTGCTTATAGCCCTACACAATATACATACAAGTCTCCATTCCCATTCCATTACATTAGTAATTTGCTGATACAGGCAATCAATGAGCTGGTTGTGCCACTCCATAAGAGTTGATGCTTTCGACGTAACCCTGCCTTGCCGGATGCTCTTCCTGGGGCCGGTTGTATGCTGTCCAAACTGGCTCTCCAATGAACAGTCTCATCAACTACAACCATCAGAAAGAAATCTTTCAAAACCAATCAGGCAAAGCACAAACAGTTTGAAGAAAGACAGTTTATAGCCATATAAAAGCTCTGATCTTTCCACCATTACTAGTACCTTGATGTAATCGGTGGTGTCAAGTGTGAATCTGTGGTAGATTCCAGCAGGCAAAATGATGAGATCCCCAGGCTTGATCCAAATTCGAATCCACCTGTCCTTCTTGTCACGAACATCAAAGTAGCCGCTTCCTTCCAAGCAGTAACGAATCTCCTCGTCGCCATGAATGTGCTCCGTGTAGAAGTTCTTGAGCTTCTCCTCATAATTGGCGACCTTCTCCGGGCACAGATCAAGCATATCCTGCCCTCCCAAATCCCAATCAATCAAAACAGTGGCAACCCAATTCGAAAAAGCTTTTAACCAAACAAGAACTAACACTAAAATTGGCATTAGTAAAAGAAAAGAAAAGCAACTACCATGTAATTGTATCCCCTGGCTTGCCTAATGTCGTTCAATTCCTCGTCGTCTTCGTACTTTTTAGGGTTCAGTTTCCAGTACAAAACTCCCAATTCTGCAACACAATAGTTATGAATTCTTCTCCAGTCAATTTAAATCCGCGACTGAATTGAATTCTAGGGAGGATGAAGGAAGTCAGGGAATTACCTGCCAAGTAGTCAATTGAAACGGGCTCGTCGGGGTTCCGGCGGTGAGGGAGGCGTTGGTCTTCGCTGGATTCGTCCATGAACCACGCCTGCGAAACGAAGGCGGGATCACCTTTTGATCAAATTGAACATAAATAATGGAGGCAGAGAAGGAGGTGATGGGAAATTAAGGGCTTACCTGGATAGCCATGGCTGCGGAGGAAGGTCAGAGGTAGTCGGAGAACTTGATGGTTCGAGGCGGAAAACCGGAGAAGGAGTGGATGGTGTTTATATAGTTGGGCGTTGGCCGCCACGTGTACAATCTGAATGCCTCATTTTGCACTTGTGGTTGCCGGCGCAACTTTCCGTGTCGTCATTTTCCGGTATGTGGTCTGTGTGTTGAGCCGGAGGACAAAAAATCTTAGGCGGGTAAACATTGGGCCTAGGCCCATTTGTACTTATGTCAGTGAAAATGTGGATGGTGGATTCATGATAGGAAACAAGCCCAATAATAACATGCAAGCTAAGGGGCCTTAGGCCTTATCTAGCGGAATAGTGAACTAAACTCGACCTAAATCGATCAAAGCGGGTAAATTTCAGTGTTTTGGGATTGATCGGGTAAATTTCAGTGTTTTGGGATTTTGGGTAGGGTATGTGTTTTCCTGCTTTTGAAATTGGCGGATTGGATTGAGTTTGGGTTTTGCCCAAATCCAACTTACATTCTTCTCAAATCAACATCCATCAAGTAAAATGACATTATTTTGTATTTTAACGGAACAATATGAATAATTTATGAATATTATTATTCTTTATGGTAATATAAACCTATGGATGATAGTAATCTTCATGGAGATATATTAATAGGAATTTTTTGTTATAACATTATCATATTATTCGAAGAAATAATGTGTGATTATGTATCTATGGGCACTCGTTGGTTTGAGTTGGACTTTCACTTCTAAAATAATCCAATTAGTATTTTACAAGATTTTTTTAATTGGTCACCCACAAATTTGGGTTTTGGTTTAAAGAAACCAAACCCAATCCATTATCTCTAACTAGAAGTATGTCCCCAACTTGAAGATAGGGCATTTGTTCATGTACCTTTTTGCGTTGATTTATTCAACATATTTATGAACCCTCCATGCATGTTAACTTTGGGTCGATCTTTTGGGAGAGCCCAAAATGAGAACATAATCTCAAAGGTGGTAGAAAGTAGAAACCCCCCCAGTAAGACAAGTCATAGGTCTTAATTTCGAGTAGAATCCCAACTAACACTATCACCGTTACACTACAGGTATATATTCCTAAGGATTATGGTGTCACGTCGAGACATGAACGTCGGATGGACATCGACACCGCATGATGAATCACAATTAATCAAACGAGTCATTCATACCATCAACCCGGTGCCCAGCATATCGGGATTGGTGAGAGAATATTGTTTAGATGAAGGTGATATAGGAGAGTGGTGCGAGATTGGAAGGGTTACTTGTTGATAATCACATCATCAGTCTGTGTAGTTGTTCCATCACTCATACGCATTAACTCATAGGACCAATATTGTGGAATCTCCAGTTGGCTTGGTAATTTAGACATTCTGACGATGACCATGCAGAAGGATTTGTGGCAACATTATCCATCTGCAAGCGCTATGGATGAGCCATGGCACCAGCGCACATGAGCCTCATTGAGAAATAGTGCGCGATCTAGGTAGCGTAATCAAGAGAGATAACGATTTAACGTGGTATCCCTGACGGTGTGTCAGGACTAATCCATGGGAGAGCAGAAAGCTCTCCAGCTATTGATGTATTTCTTATTGAACTTGATTCGGCTGTATGAACCCAATTTACAATCAACTAGGGTTCTGGAAAACAAGTTTTCCTTTCCTGGTACGTAAGACGTAGCAGCAATGGGTTGACCAGGATGAGTGGGCTTCTCGGTGCGCATGGGCTTCTCGATCGTGGGCTGCTCGGTCTGGTGGACTAGACTGTCTAATACTCCCCCGCAAGCTGGAGCGTGAAGGTTACGAACATGCAGCTTGGAAAGTAGGAAACGAAATCGATCAGCGCCAAGGCCTTTGGTGAAGATGTCCGCAAGTTGCATATGGGAACTGACCTTGAGAGGAAGGATATCACCAGTCTGAGCACGTTCGCGAACAAAATAACAATCCAGTTTCACAGTCTTCTTTTGAAGACGACTTCGTCTCTCCCAAGTGTTGCGAGAGGGCAAATTTTTTTAGCGGATTGTTTGCCATTGTATAAGAGTCTTTTCGATTCATTTTGTACCTATTTCAGATCTTGAAATTTTCATTGTGAATCATGTATAGCATTACAGACATTTCCATTCCCCCATAGTATTATGTGTCATAGGTAATGAACTAGTGATGTGTCTAGATAAGTCCAATATCTAATCAATGAACTCAAATTTCCTTTTTAACGATGTGTCTTCTTTTCTATACAACTCAAGCCTAATAACTGGATTTGCTCACTTCATATCGTTCACAGGGCACAGCTGATGAGGAAACCAGAGGAATTGAATGAAACAGGGCACTGGGTTCGAGAAAATTGAGTTAATGTGGGGAAGAATGAAAATTGCAGTAGTAGGCCGGTGGAATTGGGTAACTTATTACCAACTTCCCAGAAACGATACGAACAGAGAGAGAGAGAGAGGGGAAAAGAAGAGTGAAAGACGACCAAGTCAAGGCTCAAATTGTGGTGACCCAACTCCAGAACAAAAAGGTATAGGTTGGGGGAAAATAGGGAAACCTCTTCTGGTTACCCCAAATTGCATACAGAATGACCATAAATACACACAACCGTATATATATATTTGTGTTTTTGCACAATCCGTCACGTATTCGGAGAAGTACCAATACGCAGACGCAGTGTACAGTAGATTTGGTGCATGAGCCGTCGTTTTCCAAGCAATGTTAATAAACAATGGAAATGAAAGTGGATGACACTATGAATCTATGATATGACCAATCTTCATCGTCAAATGTTGACTACCTCAGATTTCTGAAAGCCCAGAATCACGTAATCAACTGGATCACGGCAAATGAAAACTGGTTTGGTTGCTTGCTTTCTTGCAGCCATTATCTTTTGTAGATAGAAATAGAATAGATAGCCCGACTATTCACCCACCACGCCTGAGCTGATCTCCCTCCAGCTACTTGATCATCGGTGCTTTTCTACTTGATCAAATATATGTATGGGCTTATCCATACCTAATCCAGTGATTATTTCATTTATTACAATCATTGTTATTTGATTATTCGGAAGGTAAATTACAGTTTGGTACCGAACCTTAATATATACGCATATTAGGACAAAGTACCACTTTGTACACATTCGAAAGTTGCCGCAGTTAGATTATAAGGACTGGACTATTTACATTTGAATAGTCTAGGTATTACTTTGTTAGTTAAATTGAGTTATTTAGGTTGTTAGTCAGTTTTAATCCCCTCTCTTTCTCTCTCTTCTCTATACTAAACTCAGACTATAAAGTATTCCAGTTTAAGCCGAGTTTCCTTCTTTGAATTAATCGGTAATCAGGATGAGATTTCTACTCTAATCAATCCTCTACCATGGTGTCAAAAAGTATCTCTGAGCCATTTTTACCACAATCTCGACTCAACCTACTATCTTTTTCTTCGTGTTTTTTTTTTAAATTTCTCCCCGTCCTCAAATGGTGGCGATTTATTCTCTTTCTGACCACGATGCCGCAAATCCTCACAAAGGAGGTAGCCTGAGTGATTTTGTGGAGCTTTCAATGGACCTAGGTCAACTGGAATGCTTTCACTCAGGCTACCTAGGTCAATTGGAAAATGCTTAATAATCCACTACCCTCAATTAACAAAGTGTTCTCAATTATGGTGCAACAGAGAGAGAGAGAATACCCTATTAATTACATACCTAAGTATCCTTCCAAGCAAAATCCTAATCATGCTTCTGATAACATGACCTTCTTTAGCAAAGAGCATGGCATAAAATGAGAATTCAAGGAACTGATAAGATTTTAAGAAGCAAGAAAAGATACCAGTATATACCTATTGTGATACACTGGAAGAGTTAGAAGTTGAAATAAGATGTGTTTTTTTCCAAAATATAAATTATTTTGATTGGGATTTCACTTGTAGTGTAATAAAATAATTTATGAAAAATCAAATAATAATAAGTGAGTTTTAGTACATCAGCAAAATACATTTACGTACGTTAAATTAGCGACTTCAATCCCTTCCACATGCATAAACAAGGATTTATTTTCGTTTTATACCACAGAGCCCAACCCGTCTGTTACATAAATGATATGCTTCTGGTTATCAGTCAAAGAAGAAAACCAACTCCATACAGGCTAACAGTGTCTCAATGGGGTTGAGGCCCGAGTATTTGAAAAACTCATACTCATGCATGTTCTACCCTACTCATAAATTTGAAAACAGACTACCATAGTTAGTAAATACTCCGTTTAGTACAAATATACGTACCCGTACATATTTTATCCGTATTATTGTAAAGCCGTTTCATTTTTTTCCGTTCATTTGGTGACTCATGTACTAAACACGTATAAAACCCGTATAACACGTTTACTTTCCATATTTAATGAATTAAACTGTTAACTCTACTATTATTAGCTTAGAGATAAAGTAAAATACCTATATGTATTTGATACACGTAACTTTTCCATACCGTATTTTACTAACTATGCGGGCTAGTACTGTGGTCCAAAACTGATTCTCCCCATACTAACCGAGTAGAGACTCGGGGCAAGTAAACCTTGAAGGGGAATGCATCTCCTCTTTCCAAAATAAAGAAAAGATGTCGCCTTGAATTCGAGATCGATCCCTAATCTCTCAATCTCCTCACGAACCGTACCACAAACTGACCATTAATTAATGGTGGTTTTTCTCAGCAGGTTTAGGCCTACGTTTTTTAGGCCCGCACTAAGATGAAGGTAAACGATTAGAGACAGCAGTGGTCGGTCTTCTGACTAGGCCGGAGCTCTTTGTTTTGCATTTAATGCAGTCATATCCCACGGTTAGTATCGGCGCTTGAATCAAGGAGCTGGGCCGGGCTGGGGCCCGTGGGCCACCACAACATTGGCACATTTAATAGCCCACAGAAGTAGGACTAGTAGTAACAGTGAGGAAGGAAAGGGTGATGGAGGCAGAAGTGGAAAATAAGAGACACCAAATCGAGAGAGCGAGAGCGAGAGAGAGAGTAGGGGTGTGCAATGGTCCGGTCCGTACCGGACCACACCGGACCAAACCGTTGTTAAGACCGGACCGGAGCAGACCGAGTAAAATGCGGTCCGGTCCTTGGTCCTAATGAATTTTATAATTACTGAAGAAATGGTGGACCGAGCTCATATTTGGACCGGACCGAACCGGACCAAATGGACCA